GCGTGGGTGGATGGTGTGGAGTGGTCATGAACTGTTGCCGTTGTCGACCAAGGAGGTTATTCCTGTGCGGGACCCGACGTTTATTCTCAGCACTCCTCACTATTTTTCACACGTGTTGCTTGCGGGGGAGAATCCAAAGTTTGGGTTGGTGATCCCCCTCGCGCGCGATGTGCCGTTGAACCCCGAGTTTTCCTTGCACCGGGATACGAGCTCGGTCACTGCTCCCCAACAAAAACCAGCCACAGCAGGGGGTGGAGCGGGTACGACGGATGTACCGGCTCAGCCAGCAAAGAAACACAAGATTAATCGGTTTATATGGCTGGCGCGCGTCGAGTGTGCGCGGTGGGGTACTGAATGGTTTATTGAGGCCGAGGGTACCAAGGAAGGCCGCGAGTTTATCGAGCATGCGCTTCAAGACTCGAGGAATGGGATCGAACGGACTTGGGAGGTTGTACGAGATAAGACGGGCAAGGGAAAAGTCTACATTCGCAAGCTATAGAAGCAGTCACCATTCAACGAAATTTCGCGACAGATCGTGCTTTATGAAGAAACTCGACAAATGAACACCACATCTATTTTCTCGACGGACACTTTACATCATACCTGTCTTGTTCACCAAGCCATGCCCATGTAGAATTTCCACCGTTTTTTCGAGCTATCCCCTTGCATGCGGATAATCGCGTCACTCTTATGTTACGTTATCACAGCTTTTGCTCTCTGGAGGACTCTTTTTCTACGGACTAAATCACGCTTCATCCTTTTTGCATTGCATCATACACAAATCCAGCATGGTCTCTTTCTTCCTGCGTCCCACATATAATCTCTTCTAGCATTTCTCTCGCGCTCTCGTTTCTTTTTTTTTCCAACCTTGCCACTCCTCTGTCTAGCTGGATAGTAGTATTCGGATAGCTCTTCTTTCCGATGGCTATCCCATAGTAGTATCACATCTTCAGGGGCAAAATATGCAATAAAGAGAGGTTAATTTGTGCCATACCATGTTCTGTTTGTGCCTATGTCTTCTCCCTGATTTAATACCGAATTCTCCGACTAAGCGAGCCTCCGCGTACGCAATTGGCATATAGGGTGGTAAACCTTCGACCCAGCATCCACTCGACATTCTTGGACCCTAGTGGACTGACCTTGCTTGTTTACCCCTTTAAAAAAATCTTGGTTAAAATTATGGATCCTCTTCAGGTCAGGAACATGCTTTTGATCGGTTCAGTCGACGAGCCGCCGGCGTGATCACGAATTGCTCACATGTTTTTGTTGTTGGGCTCGATGTATAGGCTGCACTTTCGTCTTCTTTTACCGCACAAAACGTACCCAAGGCGTCACCTAGTACGACTTCTCCAACGTCGGGGTCGCAGGCGAACCCTGTCAAGGATGGTGGGGCTGCCGCGACGTCTCGCGGCCACACCAGCGCTCGGTCGATCGAGGTTAGTCTTGTTTCAACATTTCAAAGGGAGTTGTGTTGTTCTTCTCGGTCGTACCATGCCACTCCGTGGTTGCCTATTCTACCCGTTGTGCCTCGTTTGCCCCTCCTATTTCATATGGTGTCTGACATGCCTTTTTTTCTCGTTTGGTTCATAGTTGGAAGAGGAGCGTCGAGCTGCAATGGACGACTCGTGGAAACATGCGTATGACGAGCGGCTAAAGGAGTGGAAAGCGGATAATGCTGCGCGAAGGGAACAGAGCGAGAAGACGCGCGGGGAGTGGGAGAAGCGGAGGAGTCAGGATCTCGAGGCGAGCTATTCGATGCCACCGAGTGCTGCTCATTCGAGTATGGCGAGTAGTTTTGTGGATGCGAGGGATTTGGTGGCGGGTGAGGGTGAGGGTGGACATGGCACTCGAGCTCTAGACGTATGTTGCTCTTC